TCGACTAAATTTCAGTTAAACAATTAAAAAACAAAAAGCATTTATACCGCAGACAATAAAATTCACCCCGTCGACTCGCTGGACACCCCAGCATTGCAATAAAAATTTACAAACAAATGTGAGTCGCAAAAAATAGCGATCTCGATGTAAAAACATCGATTAAAATCGAGTATCGACCAAATGCAAGAATCGATTAGTGCGCACATAGAACAATCGATTTTATAATATCGATCCTGAGTCGAAAAATCCTACTATAATCTCTGTCCCCCAACCCCGATTTACTGATCGCTTGACGTCACTGATTAGGCCGCCAAGATGGTTGTCAATGTTGATAAGTGGTTTGGTTACTAGTGTCGAGGGCTCGAAAACCTTGAACGAGAGTGCAGTTCCCTCCCTGTGTAATTCCCCGAAGAAAAACTCCCCATTCCCGATAATCGCAGTGCAACCCCAAAGGGCGAGGGTGAAAAACCAGTGCCATGGCAGAAAGAAACACTCAAAAAAGTGTCCTAAAATTACATAAATGACGATGAGAGAGTGACAGAAGTCGACAATCCAGTGAAAAAACCTCTCCAATATCCTGACGATTAACCCCATCCCCGTCGTGGAAAATCCCGTCGAAATGGCCGAGACAGAGGAGCCAGAGCAAGATTCACGTCGTGCCCTTTACGTGGTGCAATCGATGATTGACATATCAGCAGATCGTCTCGAGGGTTTGAGAACAAAATGTTCAACAAGTGCAGAATTAACTCAACAGGAAATACGAACGCTCGAGGGTAAACTGATAAAATTGTATTCAGAGCAGCTGGTGGAGAAGTCCAAATTGCCAGTTGATTCACTTCCCCCGGAGATGAGACAGTATCCATCGCTGCACCAGTGGTTGAGAGTGGTGGGCCTGACACCAGAGTCCATCAGGAATGTGTGCACCAAGGCCCAGACCCTGGAGGCGTTGAAAGAAAAATCGGAGCACGAGTTGGGTACGATGTTGGGTGAAAATACAACGAGACACGAGGAGGAGCTGAGGAGACTCTGCCGTGCCCTTCACAATCTCCGTCGTTACATCGACGTTTTACTTCAGAGGGGCGACGAGACAGGGGAGATGATGAATCTGTACTGGGACTCCTGGGACAGGCATCACCTGAGAGGTGGCACATCCCCGAGGCCAGTGAGATCCAGAAACACCAGGCGATCAATTCCCTCCGACGACAGTATTTCGTACAATAATAATAATTTCAGTGATACCCTGGAGCAAGCATCCTCGATAATTAGTCTGACAAGTCCACCGTCGACTCCAGTTCTTCTCAGACAGGCAGCAGCTGGTGTTAAATTTCCAACAACTCCACCACCGAGTAAACGCCACCAGACTAACCTCCCTGTGCAGCCAGAGGTATTTCCCCTCACGAAATCCAAGTCTCATGAGTCTCAATTGGGGAATAGAGTGGAAAATGGTGAGGTGATACCAGGAATTAATTCAGGGATTAATCCAGGGGCTAGGGGTAGACTCCCAACGGAATCAGGTACATTGAGCAATGCTGAGACAATATCCGATGCTCTTTTACCCACCAGCAGTCCCATCAAGTCACCACCGTATTCCAGCGCTGAGAGTGATGACAACAGCTCAAAGGGAACTGGTGTCAATCTTCACGTACCCAAGTCCCCAAGGACGCCCACTGTCACTCGAGGTATGGGACACATAATAGCCCATCGTTTTACCAAGACCTTCAAGATGATGACTACCTGCGATTACTGTGACAAGCAGATGTTCATTGGTACTGGGTTGAAATGCAAGGAGTGCAAGTACAAGTGTCACAGGGATTGCGAGTCCAAGGTGCCACCCTCGTGTGGTCTACCACAGGAATTATTCAATGAATTCAAGAGAACACTTCAGGCTGATGGAATGGTGAATGTTTCACCAGTACTTAATAAGACGAGCATAATATCACCGAATCATCACAGCCCCAATCTACCAAGTTCACTCGATCGAAAATACAGGAAAAGATCTCATCCTCACTCCTCCATAAATATTCCATTCCAGGGTGCTGACTCCAGCTCCAACACCTCCAGCTGCAACTCATCAACGCCATCGAGTCCAGCACTTCTACCTGGTCCCAATCAGGGACACCAGGTGATCTCATCAGGGACTAAACAGCAGTTTCATTTTCCCGATGTGACGATCAATGACAAGAGCATTCTCTCCATGGATCACTCCATCAGACTTGACACTAATATATCAACTGACAGTGACAGAACAATATCTGTGTCTGGATCTGCCAGCACTGACTCTGAGAGGACACCAGTCAGGGTGGACTCGCAGGACTCACAGGTATCTGATGGTGAACCTGGTGACTCACGGTGGCCAAGGCAGAACAGTTTGTCCATGAGGGAGTGGGAAATCCCTTATGATGAACTCAAAATTGGTGATCCCATTGGCACTGGGAGATTTGGTACTGTGTACAGGGGCAATTGGCATGGAGATGTCGCCATTAAAGTACTCAATATGGATTATTACTCCGATGATGACAAGACACTCGAGGCTTTCAAACTCGAGGTCGCTACTTTCAGGAAAACTAGACATGAGAATCTTGTATTGTTCATGGGGGCATGCATGAAGCAACCCCATCTTGCTATTGTCACCAGCTTGTGCAAGGGCATGACTCTTTATACTCATATTCATCTCAGGAAGGATAAATTCAATATGAATAAAACAACTATTATCGCACAGCAGATATCGCAGGGGATGGGATACCTTCATGCACGAGGAATTATTCACAAGGACCTGAAGAGCAAAAATATTTTTCTGGAGAATGGAAAAGTTGTTATCACTGACTTTGGACTTTTCAGCGTAACTAAACTCTGCTATGGAAATAGGAAGAGCAATGGGTTGAGTATTCCACCTGGGTGGTTGTGCTATCTGGCTCCAGAGATTGTTGCACGTTTGAGACCCCAGCAGACGCGGGACCAGGAGGAACTGCCCTTCACTGAGGCTTCCGATGTCTACGCATTTGGGTGAGAATCATTCAAGCAATTGTGGTCTTTTAGTGGGTAATTACCCATTTTTTTTTTAGAACTGTGTGGTACGAGCTGCTGTGTGGTGAGTGGCCTTTCAAGGGACAACCACCTGAGGCCATTATCTGGCAAGTTGGAAAGGGCATGAAGCAAACTCTTGCTAATCTTCAAGCGTCACGTGAAGTTAAAGTAATGATGTTAATTCAAATTATATTAGCGATTATTATTATGATAAAAAAAATTTAATAAGCCTTCTCGAGGAATAGGAGAGGAAAAATTTTTGTGAATTCGTCAACATAATATTGAATTTTCAATTATTTCAGGATATTCTCATGCTCTGCTGGTCCTATCACATGTCTAGTCGACCAGATTTCTCAAAACTCCTCATGACACTTGAAAAATTACCCCGAAAAAGACTCGCACGCAGTCCATCACATCCAATTCACCTGTCACGTTCAGCAGAATCTGTCTTCTAAATCTCGAATTGAAGTTTCCATTGACATTGAACTACTCATTAATGTGAAATTGTAGATATTCGTAGTAAGTTGTCAAAATTTTCACTGTCTAAAGTATTAATATCTGTTCTCCAATAGGTAAAAGTTATTGTTGTAAATCGACAGAGCTATTTCAAATTCTCACATAAAATTTCTAGACAATTTTCGGTCTCTCTCACACAGGTTATCTCACGATTTAATTTCTTGCGATGAAAAAAGAAGAAACGAAAAAAAAAACAGCAACTGATAAAAAGTATTCACCCAGAGTATTAAAATAACTGACATTTTTCTAAACCTAATATTAATAATTCAAAGTCTCGATTTTGAATTGAAAAATACTAGTCAATTTTTTAATGTAAATATATATATACGAATGAACATCTGTTTGTTGAAATGTGAAATGGAGAGGATAAACTTTCCCTAAATATTGTAAAGAAAGATCTCATTGAACTTAATAAATAAGTAAACGATATACTGTAAGTATAAAAATGATTGTAAATTCGGGGGAGAGAGTATTTCATTAATCAAGTGAAAATATTAAATGGTGGTTGAAGATGAGATTGAAAAAGCCAGAGATAAATCAAATAAAAAATAAATCATATACAATTGTTCTTTATCGATGTACCACTCTCGAACCATTATTCGGATTTTCTTGTATCGATGTTAATTAAAGACAGGACAAACTCGGTTCGATGGAAATGGATGAATAAACAGTTACGATGAAATCATTATGAAAAGATTTAAACATTTATTTTTTCTCACTTTAAATACACATTCTTTCAGGTGAACAATGGAGAGACAATCATAAAATACTTTTAAAATGTTATTCCTCGTGTTTTAATCGATTGGGAGTTGTTTGAGAAGCTGGAGCTCCTTTCGGAGTTGTTTGGCACGTGTTCTGTTTGTTTCCAGTCGTGACTCCAGGGTCTGGATTAAGGGACGAGTTATTATATCCGTTATGTGAGTGAATTGACGAGTTTTTACTGCATCGTTGTAAATTGTTGCCAGAATGTCTGTAATATTTTCACAAGAGTCTGCTGCACTCTCTTCCTCTTGGATGAGAATTCTGGAAACCTCAATCATCGTCTGGCGGGGGAAAATAAATGATTCATTGCATTACCCAATACTGGCAGGGAATTAATTATAATTAAATGAAGTGATTAGGATAATTAAATTTCTCACTTTAAGACAGCGATCGGATATCTCATTGGTGTAAACAATTTGCAGGGGAATTTCAACAGCTTCATTATTACGGGATTGAAAGCACATGAGATAGATTTCCTGCTCCTGCAAGAGATATTTGTAATTTTATTATCCATGCGATCGTGGGATGAAAAAGTGGAAAAAATGGACAATTGTAACCAAGCCCTTGCCTTCGTGTCTTTCCCTTCGGAGAAAACCGAAAAAATCAGCCCGACAAATCCCGAGTCCATCATTTGATAAGTCGCCTGCGTTCCCACGTCTTGAAACCAATAAATTAATTAAAAATTATCGAAATTAATATAAACTCTTCCTCCATTTTTTGGGCTTTATCCCCAAATCTAAGGGAGATACCCGAATTTTTCTCGGAAATTTTTTTACAGATCGAAATGAGACCTAAAAAAAAGTGATATAAAAAATTTCGCTATCTCCTTCAGATCCCGAGATATCCACGAAAAATGGATGAACCGTCAAATTCAACGTGAACTTGAAATTGGATGAATTATCAACCCACCAACGTGTGAAGGAAAAACTGTTATGTGTGGATGACTGTGGTACCACCCAATGACTCTGATAGGACGATTCAACTCATGTGCAAGTCTCTCAGCCTCAGCAGTGGCTTTCAACAGCTGTTCTGGTGAAATTTCTACTCTGTCTTTCTTTTTATCAAGTCTTCGGAGGATTATCAACGCTGATATCTTGGCAACTCCATTATTCAACTGCAAAAATTAATAATGTAATGGCACAGCTCTCGAATCCTCTCGATTAATTTATTTACTGTGCCGATGAGTAATCCCATCACTTCGTAGCTCTCGGTTGACAATGCATGTTGCAGACATGTCATGTAAACATCAGCTTGCAGTTCCACTTTCTTCAGGGGTATCTCCATTCTGTCGTTATTGAATTTCGACGCTGAAAATGCAATTTTTCGGATTGAGAATTGAAATTCGGGAGGGACTGGTGTTTACCTTTCATCTGAGAAACAACCGAAACACCTGAGAAACGTTTGGTTATGATTTTGGAGATGATTACTGCAGGAGTTGATTATTATTCTTCAGGGATCAGTGATAGCTGCACAATGACGGTTTGAATTCTCGCATTGTCGAGGCTTCAAGGATTTATCAGGAATTCCAGAATTTTCTTCTGAGTCCTCGGAGTCCGAGGAATTTCGACTGTCGATTTGATGAAAATTCCACTGCTTTCCGCTAGAGCGATTTTTTTTTATTGGAATCGAAGGGAAATATTACTAACCTCTTTGATTCAGTCTGAATTATCTCTGAAAAATGCCTGAGTGCTCCTCAAAATGTGGAAAAAATGCTGTTCTCAAGGTGAATATCATCGACGAGTAATTAATATTTAATTATAATTACGAATAACACAAATTCCGAATCCTCGTAAGAGAATCGCAGACAATTCAATTCAATTGTCACTTTGAGTATCAATTTTTTAAATTGAAATTAATGTTTTGTTGAATAGAGACCGAAGACTGGTGATGCTCTCTGTAAGGATTGCTTTTTCTACGCATTCGAAACTGAAATTCATCACACCATTGTCAACGGTAAATTGTTTAAAGAAGGAAATAAAGTGGCCATTGGAGCATCCGGAGGAAAAGATTCAACAGTTCTCGCATATGTTCTCAAATTGTTGAATGACCGATACACTTATGGACTGGATTTGTTTTTATTGTCCATCGACGAAGGGATTACTGGATACAGAGACGACAGTTTGAAGACCGTAGAGCAAAATCGAGACGATTATCAAATCCCCTTGAAAATTCTATCGTACAAAGATTTATATGGATGGACGATGGATGAAATTGTTGCGCAGATTGGCAGAAAGAACAACTGCACCTTCTGCGGAGTGTTCAGGAGACAGGCCCTGGACAGAGGAGCACAATATCTCAAAGTGGACTGCATTGCCACTGGTCACAACGCCGATGACATCGCTGAAACTGTTCTGATGAATATCCTGAGGGGAGACGTCGCAAGGCTCTCCAGGTGCACCTCCATCATAACATCTGGTGACGACTCCATAATGCGGTGCAAACCCCTGAAATATGCATATGAAAAGGAAATTGTCATGTACGCGTACTTTAAGAAACTCGTGTACTTCTCTACGGAGTGTGTATTCGCACCGAATGCGTACAGAGGACATGCCAGAACTTTTCTCAAGGATTTGGAAAAAATTCGATCGTCAGCGATTCTCGATATTATTCACTCCGGGGAGAGGATGACTATTAATACAGAGACTGTAAAAATGCCTGTGAGGGGTAAATGCAGTCGTTGTGGTTTCGTTTCCAGTCAGGAAATATGCAAGGCTTGTATTTTGCTGGAGGGACTCAACAGGGGACTTCCAAAATTGGGAATTGGAAAGTCCCAGAAAGCCCTGCAAATTGTTACTTCTAACATTTCACCAGATCTAATTTAGTATTCCTTGAAATATATTAGAACTAATTGAAATTATTGACCTTTTCTATAAAAACAAATCAAGTTATTGTCTTCCGAATGGATTTCCACATTTTTTATTCTTTAATTAAATTAATTAAATTATTCACTGTGTTCAGAATTGATTATAAAGTTTAATAATAATTTCTCTATTTTAATTATCACCTCTGTAATAACTCTCATTAACAAATCACAATAATTCTTTTATTATCTTATTGATTTTAACAAAATTTGAAGGAAAAATTTTTTTCAAACGATATAAGCAGCATTTTTGAGCTCAATAGGTCCCCTGCAGACTGGGCAATCGGTGTCAATGCCATCGGAGCAGTCCTCGCAGAGACAGACGTGTCCACACGGCAGTAAAATAATTTCTCTGGGATTTGTTCGGCACACGACGCATATCTGATCCTCCCTGAGGTCTTTCTCCCTCACCCTCTGTCTCCTCTCCTTTCGAGACTCAGCGAGACTTCTCCTCAGTTGCTCAGACAGCCTCTGCTCCTCTCGATCCTTCCAGTAACGTCTCACAACAATTCCACCGATGACTAGACCAATCGCCCCAAACATCAGGCACAAATAACGATAAATTCTTCGACGCTCGTCGAGCTTCCGGAGAAGAGAACTCACTGACATCGTTGTTAGATAAAATGGAGTGTTGAGTGGTGGCTGGAGAATTAATTTTTCTGGAGATTCTGGGGAGCTGGAGATTTCACCAAGAGCTGTTATTGTCACACCCTCTCTCAGCATCTCCTCGGTTGATTGAAGGCCTCTCTGGCGTACACCAGTAAAAAATCCCCAGATGTGATCTGTTATCGTTGGTGCACTGGGTTTGAACTCGTCGGAGATGACGTCCATGTCCAGAATTTCAGCAGAAAGGGGCTCCAGAATTTCTACACTGTGTTTTCCCTGTCTCAGGGCAAAGGGAACTGTGTTGTAGATCTCCTGCATTGTTCTCTCTTGATCAGACCAGAATCCAGCTGTTGTTCTCGCTACAACGTGCTCCTTCACCGAGAGCTTCTGGACAACTCCTGAGATTGATTTGTCATGCACTCCATAAAGGGGCTTTCCTAGTGCTCCCACTGTACCTCTCAGTGCTACATACTCTATTTTTTTCTCTGGCCTATCGTTTATTATTAATTTTAGATTCTCACCGATGTCGTAAATTTCTGCATTCTAAATTAAAACGGAATGTCAATTTAATTCGTCAATTAAAAATTCCAATGGAAAATCATTGAATTATTTATCGATAAATTTTTATTTCGGGAGTAAACACTACAGTTTTGATTCTGAGAATTGGTGGTCATACCTTCACAGCTTTCATCGAATTTCGATAGTGAAAATATTGTTTCAGGCATATCCCAAATATTAAACTGTCGAATCCTAGGGTCAGGGCTTCTCCAAGGTACTCCATGATGCCCTGAAAAATTCGGAAACTCCCTGATTTTATAATTAAATCGTATAACCTAAAAAGAGGTATTTCTTCCCTGGGTCTGAAAAACAAATCTCCGTCTTATCTGTGAAAAGAAAAATATTTTTAATAATTATTTTTACTCACTTCCACTCTCGGGGGTCTCGATCGACCCCTCAAAACTCTGGAGTCTTAAAAAAAAATTTGCAGAGTTTTATTTTTAATCTTTCAACTCCTGGGAAGAGAAAATACTGAATCACCCCGAGATTATTGATTTAAAAAATAATTAGACTGGAATTTTGGAATGGAGAACAGTGAGGTCCCTCCGACCCCTCAGAATCCTTCCGGAAAACTGAAAATTATATTTTGACTATTTTTTTTTTTGGTGTCAAATCGATAATGGAGAGATCGGATTGGATGGCTGAATAAAAATCGATAAATCTGAATAATTATTTTGCAAAATTATTGACTGTCATTACTCCAAGAAAAATATTCCAAAATCCTAAGAATTCTCCAGAAAATCAAAATCTGAAAGGTGTTTGACGTTTTCGAGAAAAATGCATAATTATTTTAAATTCCCGCTAAAAGTGTTTAAATACTTCACATGAGAACGCATCCATCGGCTCACCGTCCATGACATTTTCTTTTCTCTTCGATTTATTTGTTTCTGGTCAGATAGTTAAAAAACATGGCGGGTAGAATGGTTCTAGGACGTTTGTTCGTCCGAAATTATTCGGTAAAACATGGGGAAACATTCGATGTTTATGCAACAACGCACGGAGCTGGGAGTAAGTACAAATAAATCATGCAAATGTGAATTACCCTCCACAGAAAATTATCGTAGAATAATGTTTTGGAGTTTTGGCTGTTCCCCATCTATTTCCCATTTCCCAAAGAATTTTTCATACGAAAATTCTTTTTATCTCAAGGAAATTTCATGTTTTATTCACGCCTGACTATTTCTCCCCAATTTTTTTTACATTTCACTCTCTTTTTTATCACAAGCGACTGTCAATCTGTTATGTAATACAACCCCATAATTTTTCTTATCAAAACATATTTTCTGTTGAATTTTTGAAATTTTCTTCGGTGTTTTTCTCCGGGTGATGGAAATTATTTTGATTTCAGAGGGTGTGAAGATGTGGAAAAATCTCTCCCTCTTCGTGGCTATTCCAACGGTTCTCCTCGGACTGCTGAATACTTACTTGATGGAGAAAGAGGAGGAGAAATCGACCAAAAGGCCTGATTTCAAAATCTACGAGCATCTACGTATTAGAAACAAAGTAATAAAAATAAGACGAAGATTGAAATAAAAATTGACGAGTGATAAAAGACCGACAATTAAAATTAATCATCTCAATTGCAGAGATTCCCATGGGATGAAGGCCAGAGGACTTTATTCCACAATCCTCACAGAAATGCTCTCCCCGATGGCTACGAAGCTGAGGAGGAGCACCACCACTGAAAAAATTTCCCACAAATTCACCAGGGATAATTATCATCAGTGATTTCTAGATTTGTTCTATAGTTAATGTAACATACAACTGTCAAAGAATAAAATTTAATCAAATAATTACTCTCACAAGAAAATATTTCAATCCCCGAGAATTAATTGGTTACTAATTTCAGTGTTGTTAAAGAAACTCTCTGAATAATAATTAATGATCGAATTAGCAGTGAAAAATTGATTTATTTCTCCTCTATACAATCCTCCGTACTATTTTCCTCAAGTTGATAATTCTCTTAAAAAACATAAAATATTCAGTATCAAAAGTAGAAAAACATGAGATCTTATGATTACATAATAACTAAAACAAACAAATCCTTACGTTTATTTAATCATATAAAAAGAAATTCAAAGTTATTTCTTCATTTGATTTCGTTTTCCTTGGTACGTATTTAATTAAGAAATAAGGCTCACTAAAACGTAATAAACGGTAATGAAAAGATCCTGTGAAATTCAATGGAATTTCACTAACCGAATTAACACAGAACATATAAACTCATTTCTCGGAACAAAAAAAAAATAATACTTCAAAAAAACAATAATGACTAATAATAATTCATCCTGACGATGAATTCTTCTCCAGCGGAATTCGAGTGGAATTCCCCGTGACTAAATTCCTGTCATTCCTCCGCGGAACCCTCCGCCCTCCCCCCCCTTGACCGGGGCAGTGGCTTTTCCTCGTGCACATCGATTTCGGCAGTCTCCACCTTCACCTATTCGAACTTATCCATCCACTCGTCCATAGGAATTGACTGCACCCCCTCGATCCTGAGTGAAATCCCCTCAAATGCCTGAGCACTCGACGCCTTCACATGAATTCCCATCTCGGTCATCCCATTACACTCCACCTCATCATCAATAATCTCCAGATCATCGTCAGTACTTTCCTCCACTTTCACCAGGTCCTCTCCATTAACTTTGCTCAGCTCCTCAATTTTCTCAGTCTCCTGGAGTTCTTTTAGAATTTCTTCACGTGTTTTATATTTCTCTTCAACTGTTTCAAAATAATCCTCGTCATCAGTGGTGTCCAGGGAGATCAGCTCAATTTTTCCATGGGTTTCAGGAAGTCTTGGAGCTTGGGGTTCCGATATCAAACGTGATGTAGATCTCTCTGGAGCATTTCTGTCCGGAATCTCCAATTCTGGAGAAGTTCTGGGTATTAATTCTTTTCGACAAATATCAATTACACTAACAATTACAGGTTTCCTTAATTTTGAAACCTCTGAGGATGATTTAGTGGACAAATCAAGAGGAGAACTCGCAATGTCCGAAAGAATGTCGGGAGTTTTTAACTGATCGACTGCTGGGATGTGTGTATTTTCATGAGATCTATCCGAAATTTTCCTTGACTCCTCAAAGGCCTTCACGTGTGCTGGAGAAGGAATTCCAGGAGCAACTGGAGAAATCCTCGGATATTCAAAAATGGTTGGAGGAGTCGGCATCAGTGGGGGGGATGGCTGGACGGTATCGATGACTTGAGGAGCTGTTGCTCCTTCCCTCGGTGACTCCACACGCCTGGACTGACTTTGAGGATTCTGGAGAATTCCAGAGTTCGACGAGACCTGAGTGTTCGCCTTGAACTCGTTAATAGCATTCACTCTTATCTTTTCTATGGCTGCAAGGGCACTCTGCGTGTCTGAAAGTGAAGGTCTATTCCCTCCAGTCATTCCAGCCGCTGCTGGGGTTGTTGGAACTCCAATTTTATTTTCAGGAAGCACTGGAACGCCTTGGGCCACAGATGGATTTCTGATTCCTGGAGGAATTGATTTTGGAATTCCAAAAGGCACTGAAATTTCTTGTCGATTTATTCCAGGTGTCATTCCAGAGGTATGCATCCCTGACCCCAGAATTCGAGTCGTTGGTGCCTGATGTCCAGGAGCTGGCGGAATTCCCTGATAATTAATTTCACTGAGAGGATTTCCCTGAGAATTTTGTATCGTTTGCTGTCCAGTGGAAATTAAAATTCCTCGACTCATGGACAGAGACGACCTTGGAACGTCAATTTGTTGTCCTGATCCTGGAGTTCCAGGCTGAAGAGATGAAGGTAACCCTGAGAGTCCAGTCCCTGGTATTCCAGAAGAATTGCCGACTGCCGATGATGTTAGAACTCCCTGGGATTGCATCCCTGAATTTATTCCAATAACTCCACTTTGATTTCTAGAAGGTTTTGGACTTCCACTACTGGAAATTGGAATTCTCACAGATGGATTCGTCTTGGTGGAGGCTGGAGTCTGAGTTGTAGAACTCTGAGGTATATGGTTGTAGCCCTGAGGGATTTGTGAATTATTGGACGCAAAATTTTGCTGTTGGCATTGAGACTGAGGAAATATCTGGGCCAAATTCTGCTGGTAAAATGAATCGAGCAGATGATTTGCGGCCTGTGGCTGTGTCTGATTAGGAGTGCGAGACTGCTGAATCTTCTGTGAATTCTGCGAGTGCAACTGCGGCTGAAACGGCACATGGTGGAATTTCTGACATTGAGCCTGCATCTTCTGGAGATGCTCATTCAGACTCTCAGGCTGCATTGGTTGGGTCGGTTGATTTTTATTCTGCCCCAGCACCTGTTGAAATTGCTGATTCTGTCCTTGCAGCTGCGGAAACACCCCACTGTGACTCTGTCCCTGCATCTGCCGAAATTGATTATTCGAATTTTGTGACTGCATCGGCTGGAAGAATTGATTCTGACTCTGCTGTCCATGGAGGACTTCAAATAGCTGTCGACCTATTTGTGGGTTGATAAAATTATTCACCATATGTTTCTCTCCCTGAATGTTATTTGGCTGATTTCCCTGAGGAATATTTCTATTCTGAGGAAGGGGTTGTTGTCCAGGATAAACGGGTCTCCTATCCACATGAGGCTGAGGCTGAGGTACTTGTCCCTGAAGATTTGCAGGATATCCTCGTGACCTTGGATCTCGCGTTTGGGAAATTCCTAGGGCATTTGATTTCTGCAATATAATTTGTCGCCTGTTGCAATTTGGGTGTTTGCATTGACCAGCAGCACACAGTGGGTAATCGGGAGGGAGAATTCCTGGCCCTGGAGGGAATAATCCTGATCCTGGATGTAGTACTCCACAAGCTGTAGGCTGAAGAGGTAGATTGTGGAGATTCTGATGGTGCTGTTGAAAGCCTTGAGGCTGTCCAAAAAACGGATGCTGAGGATATAAATGAATCAGGCCCTGAGGAAGTGACGGTGAATAACCCTGAAGATGCGTCTGTTGATTGTTCTCGATGGTGAGGGACTGAATTTGCGAGGGACTGGAATGCTCGTTGGGAGGAGGAGGGATCGGAGGTTGTGGAGGGGCGGGCTGTTGGGGAAGGGGAGGCCGTTGGAGAAGGGGTGGCTGTTGGGGAAGGGGTGGCTGTTGGAGAAGGGGAGGCTGTTGGGAGGATTTTGGGGGTTTTGATTTTGAGGACTTTGTTAGTGACTGTTGGGGTGGACAAGGCCTCGGTGGTTGAGGAATTTCAACAGTCGAGCTCTGGGAAATGTAGTGGGGCATGTGGTAGGAGAGAGAAGTACCGGATGGAAGATCAGGGTGAGAAGGAATTTTTTGGAAATTCTGGGATTGGGGATGCGTTGGTGACATGTGGGGCAGACTTCCCAGTGGCAGGTGACTCGGATATGGTGGTGGCTGTCGTTCTGATGGATATGCCTCTGGATTCTGGTGGATCACACCTGCTCTATCGGAAATTTTTGGCCTATGCTCTCGGTGAGACGTCTTCACCGGGTGTTCTCTCATCTTCTGTACGACTTTTGGAAGTTCCGGGGCAGGGACAGGCTCTGCGGGACACACCTGGAGAACGCTGGACCGCTTGAGTATCCATATAATCTCCTCAGGCTGAACAAGAAAGTGTTCCCCTGTCAGCTTGGACTGCTCAACCACCAGCCTGACAATCTCCTCATCGGGGCCCTTCATGGTCGTCCTGAGTTTCTGAAAAACGGCCTTAGCATGTTCACAAACTTGCTCCAATTGACCAGCCTTTCCCAAATTACTAGGATCCATATCCAGTGCCTTTCTGTTGAACGTTATCACCCTCGTTATCATGGCCATTGTCTCGAGATTCTGCTCGTCGCGTTGAAGCTTCTCCTCGAGGGCGAGATGTGACGAGTTTAGAGTGGATACCTGCTCTCCGATCAGCGGGGGAACAATTTTGGGAATAATCCTGGGAGTGGGTGAATCGACGGAAAACTGTGGCAACATCTTCTTCGAGATCTCTTTGATCTGCTCGGTAGTCAGCCCTAGGGCATCCCTACTTTCAGAGGCCTGTGGCACTGCCTCCTGGGATAGGGCACAAATTTCGTCGAGCCTTCTCACCGCCTCGTCCGAATTTACGCTCTTCTCCAGGAATTTCTCCAGGATCGAAGGGGTTCTGCAGCGTACTTGAGGAGCCGTACCCGGAGGACCATCAACGCCCAATGAGTCCACCAGCTTCTTGACATCAGTGTCCCCCAGTCTGTAAGAAATCGTCACAACCCCGGGCTGTTCCCCAACATTTATCGGTTGTTGATGCTCATCGATCTCTAGTGGTCCTGGACTGCGGTCATCATTGAAAATAACCGTCTCCACGCTGTGAGGTGATCTGATATCCGACATCTCCTCGGACTCATCCATATCCATGGGTTCACTGCCCTGCGACAGGTTTTCTCCGATCAGAGGAATTCCCTTTGGTTTCGGTTGCTCTTCAAAAGCTTTCTCGATTACCGCAATCAGAGGCACTGGCTCGTTCTCCAGGTCGTGGAAGATCTCCTCGTCAATCGTAACATTGGCATTCAACTCCTCAGGATCTGGAAGATCGTTTTGCACCTGCGCTGGAGTCGGAGGAACTCGATTTTTCGATTTTACAGCTGCTGCAGGTTGAGGAATTTCCGACAACAATTTTTTCTCGAGCTCTTGCTTGTCCTTCTCGAGCTTCAAACGTTTCCTCTGCAGGTAGTCACCTCCTCCAGAGGACGGCTTCGTCGAGGAAATCGGTTTTCTTTTTTCTGCGGCTATCCGAATTTTTTCTAATTCCTCCTCAGGATCGAGGCTCTCGTCTTGAGAGGATTCTAAATCTTTGTGAGAGATTTGCGAGTCGTGGGGCTCAGGGCCATCTCCTGGGTCAGATCGACCCCCAGGTGGTGCGGCTTCCTCGCTGGAGGGCTTGGCAGGGCTTGAGGACACCTTGTCCTCGCCAAAAAGTTCTGAGAATCTTTTCAAATTATCTTCTGGATTTCTCGCCGCCCTTCTCGATTTTTTCGACACAGCCGTTGATTTCACACGTTTGAGCTTCTTCTCGATATCATCCGGAATTCTCGTTGGGGATTCTGTGCCCGAATGATCGGTGCTCAGGCGAGAAACCCTTCCCTTCTTCGAGGAGCCAATCTGCGTGGGTTTTTTCGAGGTCTCGGAAGCTGTAGTGCTCTCTGAGTCACGAGTTTTTTCCTTCGAGTGAGATCTCGTCGATTTTTTCGAACGTTTTGAGCTGTCCTCACCCGAGCAAGAGCGATCCCGTGGTCTCGAAGACGACGATGACGACGAGGCATCCGATCTCTTGATCTTTTTTCTCGAGACGTCGGAATTGGGAGACTTGCGGTCCTCCGAGTGGTGACGTTTCTTTTCTGATTTGTTTGACCGATCTTTCGACGATTTGTGAGACTTTTTGGAATTTTTTCGAGACTCGGTGGGATTTTGAGACAGGTCATTGGAATTTTTATGGATTTTTGGAGGGTCTGAGGGGGTGTCCGAGGACGCGGGGCGTTCAGGACTGTCCAGAATATCCAGGAGCTCTTTCGTGGATGCTGATTCATCGAGAGTGGCCATTTTAGGAGGAGTGGTCGAGGTGAGGGAATTTGAGGTCGGTGAGGTGCTTTGAGGGGTCTCTTCAGAGGTCACTGAGTTTTTCGCGGATTTCGCGGGGTCCTCCTGTGTGTCTGACGACGAGGATATACTGTCTGAATGAATACTTTTTAAATTACGATCCCCAATGAAACTGTTGTTCAAATCGAGCTTCCAGAAAGAGATCTCGCTATCTTTGGGAGATTGATCACCGGAGGAGGGTGAGGACAATCCTGAGGGGCAAGTCTCGATATCCGATGGGTCTGTCGAGGGCCGGAGGGGCCGACGCGTTAATTTTATCGATTTTCGACTGAACTTTTGCGCCTGTAATCCTATTTTTTCGTCCAGGAGCTCTGGAACTGTCTTCGATGATTTAACAGTCGTGTCTTGAACGTGAACTGGAGATGAGGAGACTGACTGGGATGAGGCGATTCCCTCGTCCACGTCGGAGTTACATCTGCAACAGATAAGATTAGGTCAGGGGGGCCTGTAGCCTCCAAAAATGCCTGCTAAATGGGACTTTTTATCTTTTAATCTGGGTTTTTGAAGTTTTCAATGCCTGAGAAAATTTTGGACTTCAGGTAAATTTCTCTGGTCTTGAGGGTTGCCTGAAGACAAAAGGGAGGAGTGAAATCTATTGAATTTTTCAGTTGGAAATCCGCATGAGCACGTGTGGAAAAAAATACCAAGGAAAAACAGCACTTGTATCTCAAAAAACCTGAAATTTATGTCATCGAAGAGCATTTAGAAAATACACCATTATATCCTCTAAGTACTTCCTCCGTAAAAACCATCACATTTCTATTGAAAAACCCATCGCCCAATTACCATAACAAAACCTGAATCGACCGAATAATTCAAGCATTAAAAACCCCACAAACTCTGTGAAATTCCCGAAATGTGCTACCTGTCGCATTGATCGATAGAGTGATTAGAGTCCGAGCTGGATACAATGTTCTCGCCTATGGTATCCTCCGGGAGGCAGTCCCCCAGGTTGACATCATTTTCCCCGGTCTTCGTCTCAACCACTTCGATTTTATCCAATGGCTCAGTTCTCCCCAAGATCACCTTCCTGACCTCATCTCCATCGAAGACAGGTATCTTCTGCAGGAGCTCCTCCAGGCACTCTCTCTTCAACTGCCTGAATCGTCGTGGGTCCTGAAGAAATTTGATGTCCGATGATTTCCTCCATTTCGGTTTATCCCATTTCACTTTCCTCAATCTCCTTCGGTATATTTGTCCGGTTGACAGAGGCTGGCCAAATTCCACCGACAGCAATTTAAAGTCATTTTGCGTTTCCTTACTCTCGTCTGAATTCGCCTCAATTCTCTTCATCAATTTCTCTTGCATCTCCATTTTTTCCCCTACTTCCGATATTTTCGGTTCTTTGGTAATAATTTTCGGACAGAAAGTCGTATTTGACGCACTCGACGGACTCGCCGCCATTTTCTCAACCCGATCCGCCATTTTATCCTCAATTTCAGAACGATGGATATTCACACACTTCCGGGGGACTGATTTTCTCCATACATCCGTGTAAAACACCGGCAAATTCTCATTCTTCCCGCCTCCTTTGGCTCCACGATTTCTGAATTTTTCCATGAGAAAAATAATAACAACAATAACAAAAAATCCCAATTCAAGTCCTTGAAGTGATCACTCATCGTTGAGAACAACCCGTGAAACCGGCGGAGGGGTAGCCCGAAATGTCCAAAATTTTTCATTCGGTTCGTGAATTTTTTAATAAAAAAAAAAAATTGTATATACTTTTGCAACTCAAAAACAAACACTCACATTGTTATTCCACTCTCCTCCACAGGTCCAAACAGTCCCCTCACATGACGAAAAAATTTCTCAAAAAGGTTTCCAATCGCCATCATTTCGAATCAAGTCACTTTATTGTATTTATATTATGAGTATTATTTCACTGGTGGGTCATTAAAAAAAATATATTCTCAGAAACGTATTCGCCGGTGGTCTACTCAGGTAAACAAAACGCCAAGGGTCGTAGCCAAAACAAAAGAGAGAAAATGTCGCCTTCGGTTTAAACGCACCGACAAATATTCCACACAAAACTTTCACAGAGCGAACGAAAATAAGAAAAAAAACGAATAAACTCCCTTTTAAGATGTTAATTCAGTTAATTGTTAGGAGTTAACAAAGCCGACAAACACAAACACTCACAAAGACATTATTTTATTTTGGGGCTATTAAAGGAAGAAAAAACTCACGTCTCTGTGTCTAGCCCGGGGTCATTCCTCCGAGAATGAGGTGTAATTATTTTTTTTTAATTGTCGATGGTTTATTTGTCACAGGGTTTATTGCGTTTTTATTTTTAGGATTGATCTCACAGGATTCCTCGGCCCTCGCATCCTGGAGCACGACTGATCGTGTGCCAGCAGCGCCGGTTCGAGAGTACCTCCTCCGGCAGTTGTCTCTTCGTCGAGTGGTGGGGACCGTTAATATCTCAGACTCACAATGAATATTTTAAGAGGATATTATGGCCTCTCGGCTATTTATTGATAAAATCAAAATTAAATCACATGAAATCAGTCCTGAAATCATGTGAAATCATTTGAAAATCAAGAAATAGCGAGGAGTACTCCAATAAATCTCTCAAGATCACTTGGGAATCACGTGAAGTCAGCAATAATTGTGTCTTGATGATATAAGACAGGAAGCTCAATAATCGAAAAAAATAATCGAAAATCGTTTACTCGAGAGTTGAATACATCACGCGAGGGAGTCGATGGGACGCTGAAGGTGAGATATTCTCATACGATAAGCAGTTGTGAAGAAAATAACAAACAAACCAGTTTTGTTTTGTTTTCGAAGATTAGAGTTGTGAAAAGACAGATGCAGGCCTTTGCACAATTCCAAACCAAACGGAATAGACATTTTTTTTCCCACAATCACCGACACAAGGAAAAAAAATTGTACAACCGCGATTTTCTCTACATTTAAATATTACGAATATAAATTGAATTATACCCAATTATTTATTAATTAAAGTATTAAGGGGAATTCAGTGAAGTTTAATGAAAATATTATCTCGTTGAAAAAAATTCGAGACAAATTTGTTACATCTATGGATTAAAAATGGAAATGGAAAGCGATAATGAGATGCCCAATTGTATGATAATGATGTTGATAGAGGTCTCGGGAATATTAAATAATGAAAATGAAAAATTCGGTGCCACACGTTCGACAAGAGGATAATCCCCTAATTACTGATAAACCGTCACACGTCTGCCACGATATTTACACGAAGGATCAATGAAAAATTTAATTCACTATTCTCAAGGTAAAATTGAAAACGGTTTTTGCTTCAGACCTAAATTCCTGGGGTGCAGGGCATCTTAGAGGAAATCACCAGAGGAGGGACTACCAGGTAATGTCGTAAAATCGTATATATGCGTCGTAAAATTCTTCCCCAAAAAATGGGAGAAAGAAAATTTCTTTGTTAGCAGTGAACAGATCCTAGAAATTCGGATAACAAAGAATTTATTTTCTCCGTTTTCGGAAGTAAATTTTTACTCTTTGAGGGTACGAAGTTTACTATCAAGTTATTGTTAATTTTTTTGGACCACTTTTTTCTCACTGGCTTTTCCAAAAAATAAAATACAACAGCTGAAACGTTTCTCTGAATTCACGGTTTGAATTGTATCAACTCTACAGCGCAGGTCGGAGTCGGCAGGAATTTTCCCGTTTTCCTTCTCTTGAATTTTTGGACAAAATGATAAAATACGAGATGCGATTGTTATAAATTCCCCAATAAATCTCAAACGATTGTCTTCGATAAAAAAATCATCACAAATTGAAATTCGAAAAATTGGACATTACTCCCCCGAGCCGGTGTGAAATAAAAATTCTCTACTGATTTTAAAAAATTAAATGAATTATTCTACTCACGTGTTCTCGATTTCAATTCTCTCCAAGACCACAAAAGGACTCTCCGAAAGCTGTTGCAAACACCGGCGAACTTCTCTGCGCGATAATTTTCCGTTTAAACTCTTTTCGGCCTGAGGAAACAAAAAAAAAAATGATTACTCCCCCGCAAGTCAAATTCAAAAATTCAAAATCACTCGATTCAACGCGCGTTGAAATTTCTCTTCCTTTCTTTCCCACTCCTTGAGAGAATTTTCTCCCGGGAGAAAAAATATCTCCGAAAAATAATAAATTCCACTTTTATTCGAGCAATTAATAAACAAATTGAATTGATTTAATTGTGTTGCCGTTTGATTTTGAATTTTTTACGTACTCTGCGGATCGCCCGCTCGAAGAATAATTTTTTTTTCATCTGCTTCACCATATCCAGCCATGATGTAATAGCTTTGTTGTGGGAACAGTTCATTTCATCTGGAGGGGTCAGGAACAATGATCCGGTGGTACCTCGAAGATATGCCTGTACCTTTTGCAGTCCCAACTGCGACTGTCCGTTGAGTCCAGGAAATCGTTAATTCGGCTGATTCACACGACCGATTCATCAATTCGTGGCGCGCGCAAGGGACGGATAAAAAAATTAAAATATTGTTTTAAAACAATAATAAATTAAATTAATTAATAATCACTAAGACATACGATTGCAAGTACTAAATATTGAAAAATCTATTTAAAACAATAATCTCAAATACTTGTTTTTCTGTGTTCATTAAGATTGGGCAAATATTTTTCATTGTCGCGGATCTAATTTAACAAAAAAAAAACGATTTTTCCTCGTGAACAAATGGGTTTTTATTGTTATTATTATTATTGTCAATTGAATTGAAAAAAAAGCAGAATGTGCTGATGACCGCGTAGAGCAGTAAAAAAAAGCTGATAAAGTGTAATTCGAGGGGCGACTGGAGTGAAATTATGATCTGCAATAAAATGCCTAGTTCCACAGTGAAAAGATCATATTGTGCAACGCATTCCTCACTGCCTTCAAAACTTCCCGCTAAAACCGATCAATCAAAATATTAAATTAACAAATTTTACGATTTTTTCCAGTGAAAATTGATTCTTTCAAATATTTTTTTGAGATGTATCACCAATTATTTTATTATACCACTTGATTTTTTATTTATTCCTCACAATTGAATTTCAGTTGAGGATTCGATACGATTGTAGCTAGATCGGTAATGTTGCTTGCTCGAGAGCTCGTTGAAGAGTGTCAATCGTCACCAGTTGGTTCAGGGTGTGGCCTCTTTCCCGAAGACAAGGCCCTTTGTCGACAGAGTTGGTCCATGTGCTGGATATTTGAGTCAAAAATAGGTCAAGTGTTTCATTAGTCCCTGCGATCTGTTACAACCACTTGTTCGTCAAAAATATATTCAAATAAATTTATTTCTAATTTTCCAAAAAATTTGCGAAAATTGACACTTCATTTTCCGATTGCATTCCGCGCCATAAGAATTCATCGTATTGTGCTGTGACTAGATTTTCCTGTGCAACAATTTTTTTTTTGTAATGCAGAATATTTTTTTTGCGAAGTCAGTCCTTCAGCTGCACTCGATTGTCCCCGGAAGTTGATTGGCAACGGTTTTTTTATACAAGTAAACCTATTCACACGAAAAAAGTTGATACGGGTTAATGATACCTCCCCCATCGTGATTCGCCATTATCTCGTGAATTACTCCCCCCCTTAGTCGCTCGATAATTCCCGAGGAATCGGTGATTGTGTCAATATTTGTTTTTTTTTCTTCACGTTCTATTTTTATCGTCTTTCGTTTATGTTTTCATTTTTTTTCGATTGGATGATTGGAATGAGTGAACGAGTTGATCTACTGCGCAACAGCTGATCGAAAAAAATGGATTTACCGCACGATGCAACGCTCATGAAGTACCTGATAGGTTAGGCTCAATATCGAGTGAGTTTTATCGATAAGTCGACATTTCCCGAGTGAAATAAAAAAAATCTTGAAAATTCCATCTCGAAATCTTCGAGATCGCAAAAGCCGATTTTCCCCTCGGGGTCTTCTTGAAATTTTTCAACAACCGCTGGGTGAAAATTGACAATTTTTTTTTGATTTTATGCGTAATTTCCCGAGCTGTTGAATGGAATCGGTTTGAGCCGCAGAACTCTACCGATCACTGAGATATCCCGGGAAAACTGACTCGTCGATTTATCTCACTGCTCTAACGACGTGCAGACGAGTTTTCTCGTCCGATTTTTCACGATTTTTTATATTTCCACAGCGGGGGGCGTCGGGGGCATTGCAACAACAATATTTGGACATCCGTTGGATACGGTAAAAACGAGAATGCAAGCAGCACCGGGGGTTTACAAAAATACGACGGATGCTGTAGTGAAAACCGTGAGACGAGAAGGCGCCATGGGACTTTACAAAGTGAGATTCGTTACCTAGGGACGATAATAATATTTTTGAATCCCTTTAAAAAAAATTCAGATGTAACAAAAAATTTTCCACCATTTTTCAATTTCAATTTTAATTTTTTTTTTTAGGTGTAATAAAATAATCTTAAAAAATATTTGAAATGAAATATTTCATTGATTGAAATTTATATTTTATTAACTGAATATTTCTCACCGATGATCTAGAATTTTTCTGTCACCATCAGGGCATAACAGCACCTTTGATCGGTATAGTACCGATTTTTGCCCTGAGTTTCTTCAGTTTTGGCCTCGGCAAACGTCTCCTCTCTCGACCTGATAACGCACCCTTGACCCCCGTCGATCTCTTCCTCGCGGGAATGTTCTCCGGTCTCACCACAACAATGTTCAGTGTACCTGGGGAGAGAATCAAGTGCCTCCTGCAGATGCAGGTATCCCCCATCATCCTGAGTGCAATATAAATTCTCACGCCCCTAATTTCCAGACAAGAGGTACCAAGTACAATGGATTCAAAGACGCGGTTGTAAAATTGTACCAGGAAGGGGGTGTCAGAAACCTCTACGTCGGCACTTGTGCTACATTACTGAGGGACGTACCTTCTGGTGGAGTTTATTTTGGTCTTTACGAGCTCATGATGAGATTTGAAACTGAAAATGACGATCATGTAATGGATCACCCCAAATTTCAATCATTAAAATCGTTGATCGGTCGATTAATTGATTCCCCAGGTGTCACTCTGGCAGCCGATGTTCGCGGGTGGAGTTGCCGGTATCGGTAATTGGGTGGTTGCTATGCCAGCCGATGTCCTGAAATCTCGTCTGCAGACGTCGACCATGTGGAGATATCCCAAGGGCATGCGCTCGGTTTTTCCTGAAATCCTCAGGGTCGAAGGTATCGGTGTCCTCTACAACGGCCTCATACCGGTAATCATACGAGCATTTCCAGCCAATGCCGTCTGTTTTCTCGGTATAGAATTTGCAATACATATTCTCGATAATTATTTCCCGTGGGTATGATAAAAATACGTTGATAAAACGATTTTTCTATTGGAGCTCCAGTCATCAGATCAGAAAAAAATGGGCATTGATGAACAAGTCGATCTGTTTTATTGAGACAACATTAAAAAAAAAAATCGTCTAATCATAATAAAGAAATTATTCTTATACGTTGATAAATTGTTAATTATGTGATATTTATAGTAATTTGACTCAGCAGTATGTGGAGATTTGCTTGAATCGCAGTTTTTCGTCGATTGCAAGTCATAAATCACCTCTGAGTCAATTTAAATCAATCTTGAGTCCATCAAATCGTCATGGAATCGATTTTAAATTGATCGTGGAGTTGACTCGTAGTCATGGGTGAAATTTCCATCGACTTGAGTCAATCGTGAATTTGACTCAAGTCTGGGATTGGTCATTGAGTCATGCTGTTTCACTTCAATTTTTTCTGACTCGGATATCGGGCTTGTGTGACTTTGATAAAATGACTGAGTCAACCGTGGACTCGATTCAGTGACTTCACTTACTCTGGAAGACATCGGTAACTCCGATTTGACGATTGACTCAAATGGAAGAATTTTCAAGTTAATCCCTGATTTTTCTTTTGATCCACGAGTCATATTTTCGATGGGCAGATCATGACTTGTGGGCGTTCTGACATTTGACTCAATTTGACTGACTCGTAAAGTCCTTTCCGATCCCTCAGTTACATTTCCCTCACGTGCCGACGTTGATGACTCAAGGAGTCCAATTTCTGATTCATTTTGTGTCGCCCCTGCTTCACGAGTCATCAGTGACTCATAAATCTCCCATGAATGATTTTCAATTGGTTTATCAGTCCTACGTGCTTGCGAATTTTTTTCGCGAATTTCCTCTTCATGAATTTCTCTCGCGATGTTTTCAACTCCTATTTCCGCATGATATTTAAGACCGAGAAGAGTGACATCATGAGATAAAGATGATGGCTTCGCAGAAGACGTCGGTTTAATTTTACCATGAAGGTCTGTGTCACTGGACCCTGGCAAAGACTTCGAGGGATTGAAATTCTTTGCACGAACTGACGAATGAATCATATCCTGTGGTGCGGTAATTGCATCTCCTTTTCTCGAATCGGTATCTCTACTGGTTATTACTTTTCCATTTGTCGAGCCCAAAAATAGAGAAGTCTGAGGGTTTATGATGTGTCGTGTAGAATTTTTTCGAAGAAATTTCTCTCTCATTGTAATCGCCCTGACATTTATATTCCCAGTCACGTTTGAGGGAGGCCTTGGAGACAAGTCAAGAATATGTCCTAGCCCAGGACGGGTCACTTCATACCCCTCAGTTCGCCAGGAATTTTTTCCCGGAATACCAGATGTTTGAAGAGTTGTCTGTTTTTCATCCTCTCGACTTGTAAATACTTCCTCAGTGAACAGTTGCTGGGTTAAGGGAAACTCAAGGTCGTAAATCTCTGCTGAAGTTCTTAAAGAATTTTTCCCGGGAATCCCGGAGACTTCACGAATTGCTTCATTCTTCCCTCCCACCATTTGGCCGTGGAAATTCGAAGCAGGTATCTGTCCTTGAAGTTCAGAGCCGCCCACTTGATATCTCAAGTCTCTCGGCACAAGTCCGGGGTCCACGTCTGAGAGACTTCGAGGAATTCCTAGCGGCAGCGGTTGATTTTTTGATTTAGATGAAAGCCTGTGTTTGGTTTTGCTGTCGCGTTGACGAGACGGGCCCACTGGACCAAGTCCTGTCTGCAAAATTTCCTCCCCTCCGGCTATTTTTCCTTCATGATCTGAAATGTTCGTTGTCGCGACGAGTGTCCAATTAGTAGTTATATTATAGGTATACGTTATATTCTCTTTGATATGGTACGTGACAATTTGCGGTGAGGGTTGCCAAGTCTGGAGATGATCCAATTCCTGTGCAATGCCGACACCGCTCGCTGTGCTAGTCTCCAAGTAATCGTAGTCCTCTCCGGCGGCGATTCCGACTCCAGGCGAAGTCTTACTGTGCCCCAAGCCATCTGGGGGGTCAAGCCCGCCCACTTGAACGTACACTTGGTGCTCTACGACACGCCTGGGAGTGGTCACGCCCACTGAGGGGGTGGGTCGGTGCCCCAAGTCCTCGGGGGGGTCGAGCCCGCCCACTTGAACGAACACTTGGTGCTCTACACGTCTGGGAGTGGTCACGCCCCCTGAGGTGGTCTCTCGGTGCTCCAAGTCCTGTCCGGTAGTGGCTGTGACCCCTGCCGCATTCTCCAGATGATCGAAGTCCTGTCCGACTATTATGCCATTCCCGGGGGGACTCGCCGGCTTGGGTGAGGGGCCCTCAGTCGGCTTATCTGGGACTGAATCTCCGGTGGCATTATGGCGCCATCTGTACTTCTCTGGGTTCAGTCCTAAGGATATCGCCGCCCAGATAACGGCTATCAGCATTATGAAGTAGCAGCACATGTATGCACACCATAATTGTCTTCTTGACATTCGTTTTGGAGAGTTGTATCGTATCGCTCTCTCGACCCACATGAGCGCTAAAGGTTATGATCAGGTCATACTGAAGTTGATATATTTTGATTGTCATTTCGGGATAATGGCGGTGATCTGGTTTTTTTAATTCGAGAAAATTTGCCAATAAAGAAAAAAAAATATCAAGTAAAAAACGATTGGAGAGAATTCTTGAATTATTATTTATATATAAAAAAGGAATACATGATTTAATTCGATAATTAATAAGAAATTTAACTCATTACCATTTTTTCCACTTTAAAATTTTTCTAGGTCGCCCGAAAATTAGAAAGAATTTTGCTGGAATTTTTGACGTCGTGTAAATACTACAAAAAATTATTCCTGCTATTTAAATTTAAAAAATATCTTTTTGAATGATCCCGCGCTGAAGTCTCCACCCAACCCGATTGGCCCACACGTACCCACGTCGGCCAATGGGACGGATTCAGGAATAACCTATAAACCAGTGACATATCGCCACCCGTGCGGTCATAAAAAAACAACAAATTTGGCGATTAATCAGTTTCCTGGAGTTTTGTTTTCATAATTTTTGGAGCGGGGAAATATTTCTCGCTTCACCAGGGGCTCGTAGTCGGTGGATTTGGAGTCCCTGGTGTATCGAGAATTGATTCAACGACATGAGGTCAGAAGGACCTCGTGATCCACCAAAAATAAGTAAATAAATGGTGTCTTGTGGTATTTATCGGATTATTTTTGGGCGAAATCGAGGAAAATGAGGATAGCTGTCACCTGGGGAGGACTCGTCAGGCTTTTACGCAGGAGAATCGTCCTTGCCATTATTTTCGCCCTCTCTCTGACGTACTGCGCTATTTCTCTACTCGCGCACGAAGTAAATATTTATTTATTTATATACAACATTTTTTATTCTATCAATTTTTTCAATAAAAATTGACGTTTTCAGGGAAAATGAAAGATTTCGTTTTCATGAGGCACAAAATTGTTTCTGTTTATTTTGTTTATGATTATTTTTTGTATTCTAGAAGATTGGTTCTCCAGTGGGAATTTATGGAGATGATGGAGACGATAATATGATAGTCGATAATGAGGATGTGGGCGTGGATCAGGATTCCGAGGACGACGTAGGGGGGAAACACGTGCCCTGGCCACCGATTTCTGGATCCGATGATGGAATCGATAATAATAATAATGGGTCCAGTGCCAATGAAGTTGCAAGAACTTGTCGAAATTCTATACAGGTGCATACTATAAATTTCATTGACCTCGAGTCTCAATTTCATCCCCTTAATTACAGAAATCAATTAAAATCTCAATAAAGAGACTCACGATTTTGCGAATCAATTTAGGTTTTGGTGAATTAAATATTTTTCTCAGGGCAAAGCTCTGATTGTCGATGAAAGGGGCCTCGTCTGTGCCCGGAGGGAGGTGCTCCCTGGGGGATGCTGCAGGGGAGACCTCGAAAAGACTGAATCCCCGGGTGTTACGACAATCGTCAAACGCGAGAGGTACAGCTGTGAGACTTGTAATCCTGAAGGATGCTGTGCTGTATACGAGTACTGCGTTTCGTGCTGTCTTCACCCAGGAAAGGTTAAAAATTACAGAATTAATATTTTCTATAAGCCAGTAATTATTTCTGAAAACCTTATGCCCTTCGTTATCTTTTTCCCATTAAAAATCCATTTTTTCTACAAAAATTCCAGAATTTCCATTGCATATTTGGGATTAAAAAGAATTTTTTTCCCTCAAAAAATTTTTTTCTCCTCCAAAAATCTGAAAAAAAAAATTAATTTCAATCGGATAAATGATGAGATGAGAGTAAGAAATATCTGGCAGTATTTCGGTAATTATTGAATGATTTGCTGATTCATTAATGATGGAAAATTAATGGGAATTCCAGAGGAGACCAAAGAAAGAGGCCCACTCTCCACCAGTGCGTCGTGATGCCCAGAAGTCACGGAGAAATGAGGACGCGGTGAAAAATCGTTTTCGAAGTCTCGACAGATTTCAAGTTTGTCTCGCAATCTGTCGCACCTCCAGTGCCAGTGTCAGACACGAGAACACGTACAAAGATCCAAACTCCAAGCACTGCTACGTCAATTCGATAAATCATCGTGCCCCACGTGATGTTATATCGATTAATAATAATAATGGCGACAACGTCGCTGTTACATCTTCTACTGTGCGGTTATTTATCCTTCATTATCCCAATCCTGAGGACCTGTCGATTCATCTTAAGAAATGCATTGAGTTATATGAGTTGGTTCATTCATTCGGCAATTTTTTTTATCGATTTACAATGAATTTTTCATCGATTATTCCAATTTCACACATTTTTATTTCATTTTAAAGCTGAAAAAAATTTATTAGTTAGGAAATTATTTTTATGATATTTTTCGCTGTTTCTATAGTTTTTTTTTTTAGAGATTTGAACGAAATCCACGTGCAATACTGGATTTCAATTTCCAGACATCTTCATACCGAATTTCAATCCCAGGTAAACGTCTCATTGTGACTTCAAGGACTTCCTTCGCGATATTTTCCTGAATGGTTCCAGCGACCTGCAACATAATCACGAGGAAAATTTAAAAAAATGGACCCTCATATTTCCCTCCACAAAAAAAATCTCAATTGAATTTTCGCCATCTCCAATAGATCCGGAGTTATTCCTCGATAATCCGACAGTCTTGTTACTCCACCTCCTCGCTACTAATCTAATTAATTCATGTTGATTCGATTGCTTGATTTTGAATTCTCCAGGTATTCAGGGAGACATCCGAGAATTTGATAAGATTTCAATTGGAATTTTCATTTATTCTTGAGTAATTGAATGTAATTTCTTGACAATGAAATTAAAGACTAATACCTCGATGTAGTTGCATTCCGCAGCTGCGTAGTGACAGGAAATTGCTTTTCTCGTGCAATTCGATTTGTTCACACCGGATCCATGAATCAGAAGTGGATGGAAGAAAACTGTGTCACCAGGCTCCATTTCAAGGTCTATCCAACGAGTGGACTCCGGTATATTCTGGTAAAACAATCTATCATATTTCAGCAGGTACAGATTTTTTTCCCCTCGAAAAACAATTTTTTTTTTAGTTGAAAATTGCGGGTGTGGGGGTGTGGGGTGTACCTGGATGCCGTGATACATTTTATTTGTGGGATAATCCGTGGGGTAGGCGTGAGGATGGATTTTTCCCTGGAGATGACTTCCAGGTGCGACGAATAGACATCCGTTTTCGGTGTTGCATGGCTCGATCGCTGTCCAGGATGCGACGATTTTGTTCTCGGGACGGATGGGGAAGTAGTAGAGATCCTGATGGGGCGGATGTCTGCCGTCAATTGAGGGAATTTCAAAAATTGTTGGAGTGCTCTTGTATAATTTATTATTTTTTGTTTCGATCAGGACAAAAAGGAGATTTTACTGATCGGTTTCAGAAGGTACGTTTTTCGGAAATATCTCTGAATTTTTTAAAGATAAACAAATTATTAACCAGGAAATCACCTGCTGCTCATCGCCCCGATATCTGGAGGTTTTGCAATTAGCATTGAGTGAATTGCCATTATATTTTTTCCTGTGAAGCACTCGACAATGTCCAGGATCTCTTTATTCTCGATATACAACCGAAAAATGTCATCTCTATTTATGTCTTGGAGTTTATTAACTGACGATCGATGTATCACATCTTTCATCACAGTAATCACCCCTCGATCGACTTTACCCGCGACGATGTCGTCGAATCTATCGGGCAATAAATCAAATCTGTCATCAATAAACAATTAGGCAGAGTGGAAAAATCACTATAAAAAATTACTTGACGTTTCAGTCACAAAATCATTTCAACTTCCGTTGGAATTCAATAAAAAAATATTTTACGCACCTCTGACTGAATTTATCGAGCAGTTGTTGAGGGATTAATTTCGGAAGCACCAGGAAGCCACTGGTCTCGTAGAAATTTCGCTGCTTCAGCGTCAATTTTGCAGTATCACGTGTCAATCGGAAATAATGCGATCCCATTATAATATTCTAAAAAAAAAATCCACTGGTTTATAATGATAAAAAACGATTCAATATTTCAATATAATATTTCATTTTGCGACATTTTTATTCGAATTGAATTGAAATTGACAAGATTAATAATTGATAATTTATAAATAATTTTCATTAGTCAATTTTTTTTTAAATTTTTTTTTTGAAAAATGTTTGAAAATGTTTTTCCAGATTTTTCCGCTTTCCCGACTCTGGCGCGCTAATCAAACAAGTGGTTGAAGTCATTCCGAAAAAGTCCTGGAATCACCCCCTTCCCAATCACCCCCTCTCCTTGCAACCCGAAATGCGCACGCGCATAACCAGGGGAATATGAAAGCTTTCCCCCAGGAAATTCTTGGAATGAATTCTCACGGGGAGAATCCAGTGACTTTCACTGGATTTTTCAATTTCTCGATTGAGGGGTGATGTTTCCTCGGGGTGGGGAATTTTCGAGGGATGAAGAGCGGTTTCGGCGGCTCGTTCGAGCACGTGGCGCACATCAGGGGATGTTTCACCACCGGCGATAGTTCACCCCTTGGTCAAACGACCGCGAACGGTCGCTCGCGACACGCGAGAATTTTTCCGATCAATTGAAAAAAAAATATAAAAAATTCTCGTTACGTATCGCAATTAATTGAATCGGAACGAGAGATAATTGGAGTGCATTAAAATTTTTTTGAATAATCAATGGCGAATGAAAAAAACTGAAGAAAAAAGAAAAATAATTAGTGTAATTAGTCTACGGAGGGAAATGTCCGACAATATTCTCATGGAATATTTCAGTTTTAATGGAATCGAATGAATTATTTAAATTAAAAACTTGTGGGAATTCGATGACGAGAATTTAAAAAATTAAGCGAGAGTACGAAATAAAAATTCCTAATTGAACCAGTACACTGGGTGAGGGATGAAAAATTTATGGTGAGGAAAAATTGAGTGGAAAATATTCAGCGATTTGCAATATTTCAATAAAAAGTGAAATGTTCCCAGTGCGAATGCCTCCGGACCCGAGGGGTGTCGAGGGTTTATGAGACATTGGGGTGAGTTTAATATGCGTAATAAATCACACGAGCTTCCCGTGAAAAATACCTTCAATTTTCCGAATTTTCCCGTCATTCGTTTTGGTCCAGGATCCCGTACATCCGCCCCCACACACCCACGTATTTACGAAAAAAATGCCGTCGAACGGGAAAAATATGTTTTATTGTTGAAACTCTGTGGAAATTCCCATAAGCTTAATTTCACTGGGAAAATTCATTTCCCAGTTTTTTTCCAGTGACTGAGGAAAATTTGGAATTTTCGATTCAACGATTCGGAAAATTTCCCCTTCCGAAAAATACGTTTTTCCTACGGGCTTTTTGGAAAATTGGAAATAGAAAAATCCAGGTAATTAATTTCCCAGTTTTCCTTCAGTAATGAAGGAAAATGGGAAATCTCCTCGATGTGTTTTCCACCGGAAATTTTCATGGTTTTCCCATGACACAGCCCTGTCCCTCCCTCGCCGCCGCATTAGAATATTTCCCACCAATTTCACCCATTTCCCCGTGCGATCAAATTATGAAAATAGAAAATGGATGATCGATGGGGTCTACCCATGGAAATATCGCGATGACCCCATTCGATAGATGCGAAGATTCCACCTAATATTAAAAAAGAAACTGAGTTGCGCCAGTAGCTGGTGAGGTTGAAATTTCAGCGAATACTTCCTCGGTTTTAATGCTCCCCTGATATTTTTTTGAAAATTTCGAATTTTCAAATTTCAGCGAATACCTCCTCGATTCTCATGCTCCCCTGATATTTTTTTGAAAATTTCGAATTTTTCAATTCTGAAGTTGAAGATTGACAAACGAATTTCTTGAAGAAAAATCGCTTTTCCGAGAAAATCGTGTTGCCAAGAAACTTTTTGTGATGGATGAGTTGTTGTAATTTTCCGAGAATTAATTGATTTTTAAATAAAATAAGCACGCATCCTGCACAACTCCACATGCCAAACCTATGAAATACCCCGTGAATTTTCCGATTTTCCGGGTGTTCACGGGAAAAATGTTCTATTATCCAGTTGGACATGTAAATTTACAGTCATACCAGACACAATCGATGGGTACAACGCTTTAATTATTAAACAGACTCGGGTCTACAACCTTTCTATTTCCCCCTCCCCTGGGGGTTGCGATCGACCTTTGGCTCATGCGTGTACTGCATAATTTTTCCATTTCCTCCTGAGCACCAGAGGTTTTCCTGAATTTTCCAGGACCTAATTGTTAAAAAAATCTGCCCCGCGGAGATCAATGAGAGTCAGAACAATCTCCCGGCGGATTTCAAGTCGAGAAAAACTTTCCCTTTCGAATTTTCCGGGTTGTCGGAAAAATCGCTTTTCACCCCGGAACAAGCATTTTCCGTTTTCCAGACTTTTCAATTTTTATGCGACTTCCGGATAATAAAAAAAATCAATATTCAATGCTCCTCATCGGAAAAACTTGGTAATTTGCGTTTTCCCCCGGAAGTAAAATGACCCGGGTATTAAAATGGGGTCAGACTGTATCAAATACGAGGAAATGCCCTTTTATTTTACTCACCCCTCCGCCAGTTGAGGAATGGACAAAACGTGTAGCATCTGGGGAGTTGTATGAAGCTATAGTTTTTACGATTCCAAGAGAGAGAGAAACAAAGTCGAGGAACTTCCACTGCGATATAAAGTAGAAAATGTACCACTTGGCCAGACACCAGGGCGGAAGTTGCTGGCTATAGACCGACATTACAGTTGGTAGACACAATGTCGCCATTTTTTCCACATTTTCTCTCCCATTCTTCCACCGGAGCGGAATAAAATAAACAATCAAGTGGAAAATATTCTATTCGATGACTCCCGAAAATTCCTCCCAAGAAAATTTTCCGGAGTCCACTGCAATTATCCATATTTTCCATAATTTCCATAATTTCCATAATTTCCATAATTTCCATAATTTCCATAATTTCCATAATTTCCATAATTTCCTTTACTCCCTTTTTCTAATTTTTCCATAATGTTTTTCGAGGGTTTAATTACAGATTTTAGGAAAAAATTAATAACAATTTCCAGATGGAGAGTGGAATGGAGGAGTTGGTGACACAGGTTTTTCATTTTCACACGACACCCTGGAGATTTCGATTATCTTTATTGAATCTCAATGGAACCCCCAGGGGCCATTGATTTTCGCACCCCCGCGTGCCTCTGAATGCTAATCTGAGGATTGAGTCAGCTGATCCCCACAATAAGCCCCCAGGTTAACGAAGGGTAGACAGTCCAGGGTGTAGCCCCCAGGAAGAGTGACTTTTTTTAAATTACTTGTCAAGTATCTGGGAATGCTCGTAATTAAAATTCAAAATTATCGAAAATGCATTTTCTCCTATGGAAATTAATTGGAGAAAATAATTATTGAATTGCAATTTTTCGGAAAATTATTTTGGATTTTTTTTTAAACATTTGGAAGAAATGTACCAGAAAATCAGGGCAAATGTCAGAGTAAAAATTCTCCCACGTAAATTTTTCTCTTTTACTTTATCGAGTGATCCGATTCGTAATCGCCCATCAATTCTGATAAATCACCTGAATTATTATTCCATAGCCCATCATGAATATTACACGAGTGACCTTGACATGCTACAATGTTTATTTTTGTATATATTTGCATTATTAACGAGAATTCGTCAAACTATTTTTTCGACGAATCGATGGTACGCCGAGGGGTTGGAAACGCGAGATTCCGCGAGATTCCGCGGAATTCGCGCTCCGACGAGTGATTTTCCGGGGTCCGAGGAAAAAAAAATGTGAGGAAAATTGAAAAAATTGGAATTCCTCATCAGCTGTGCAGCGAATTTTCCTCATTCGAAACTGGAATTTTCCAGTGAAAACTCCCGGAAAATTCATTGGTGTCTCTCAACGATTTATTATGACGAACAAAGCGAAAGTTTTCACGGTTTTTCTCGTCTCTCTATTTTTTTTCACTCGATCTTCCTTCGCTGAGTGACATTTGCCCGTTAACTGTGTCATCACGTCTGGTGTATTCTATTTGTGTCGTGAAATGAAAATTGTGGAAATGGATAATTGTTTACTATTGAATTTTCAGTCGGGTTTTCTCGCCGTGGAAATCGCTTTTCCATAGGGTTTTGTATTTTTCATTGATATCACATGTAGTGGATGATGGGCTCTGATTTTTGGAGCAAAAAATTTTCCTCTGGACTGAAAACTGAAGCTCGAAATGGAAAATGGTTTTTTATTGGAAATTTTTCCTTTTTCCTGGTAGTGGGGCACTTGTTTTCCGACGCTTTTACGATTATTGCCAACCGCAATGAATATAATTTTTTTCTGAGAAGAGAAGAGCAAGCCGAATATTGCGGAAAATTCTTGGAAAACTCGGAAAAACGCGATTTAAAAAATTAAATTTCAAATTCCCACGAATTTCCCTAACTAAACCGATAAAAAATCATTTTCATCACTGAATTTTCCAGAAAACTAGGAGAACTCAATTAAACATCTCTCCGGGGAAATTGAAAAACTTCTAATCCATGTTTCACCCTTTTCCCTCACCATCAGAAAACTCCAATTTTCCGGAAAACTCGAAAAACTTTCCAATAATTCCACCGAAAAATTCTCCGATGTACCTATTCCTTGCAATTACTCGAACTCTGGCATTGAATTGATCGATAAATTTTCATGACTCAATTTTTATTGTTTCGGTTATGAAGTCACCTTGGACTCATCGTTTCCTCCACTCACGTCGAATATCGTCTGACGGAAGGAATCACCTCGCGTGCAGAATCGCAAAAAAAAAAAAAAAAACCCCAAGCCACAGGAGTGAAGACCAAACGGAAGTAGTTGGTTTATAAAAAAAAATGTTGGGGAGAGCGGGAAAAAAGAAGGAGTACTTTTATCCTGACGTTTTGACTCAACGAAAGTAGGACATGTGAAGAATCGATACGTCAGTCGACCAGTATCAAATCGGTATGCCTGCAGATCAATATATTCCCCTGACTCGCAATCAGTCCTTCTGAATTTATGAAAATAATAATAACAACAATAACGATAATGGTAGTAATAAAATGAAAAGGAGTTTTCAAATGTTTTTTTTTCAATTCTGAAAAAAAATTGCAAGTCTTTTGGATGCGATCGTAAATAAAACGAGTCATCGAGTCCGATGTTGTCTGGAGACACTTACAAAATTAAATTCCTGAATGATTAACAGATTCGAATCGAAATCACCCCTGAAATATTCACACCCGACCCAATTACCCACTGTCTCCCATCTCGATAATTTTTGTTCCACTCTCTCCCCCTTGCCCTCAACGTTTGACCTATCCCCCGGATATATATTTAATCAACTCCAGCGGTAAAAAAAGTCACGCCATGATCGGGGGAAAATCCATATAAATACCACTGGAAAAGTCAGTGAACAGATTGACCCCTGACTCCACGCCAATCCCTTTCCTCTTCAATTCGTTCCCCACCAATTTGAATGAATTCTTATTTTCGCGGGCTTTTCGTATTTCCAAATATTCAGGATTTAAATGAAATAAAAAAGAAAATTACTTGAAAAGATTTTTTTTGATGGACCGATATGAGAAATAAATTTTTCCACTAGGGATATTGTTGTGGTATTCAAATAAAAAATAATAGAATAAGCTCTAATTGCGATTGACATTCAAATTATAATCTCAAATGTTTGAAAATGGCCCCACAAATTAAACCTCTCTCATTACCCATTAAATTCCCACTAATAAATAATGAATAAATCGCCGAAAATTTCTCAGCTGATGAATTTTGATGCCGCGTTATATTCAGTTACGTGAGGACTCCTCTTTTTCCCTCTGTATATCATTCCGTTGGACAAATGAATTTAGCCACGCGAGACCTCGTTTTCTCGTTCTACCCATCCCCCTAGAGCTATTCTACCCCCACGTGACGTTGAAATTAACTCGAATGATCACAGAGCTCTAGTGAAATCTGGGTAGTTACAATTTCTTCTTTTTTTTTTTACATCCCTCTGTGCCCTGTTTTCCCACACACCCACATCCGCAGGTGGCTATTACAGTGACCCTTGAATTAACACGAGTCGGAAAGTCATTAGCAGGGGAGTGTCTCTCAGAAACCAGAGAGGCAATTTTCGGTGAATTTTTAAACTCTCCATTTGTAAAATGAGACCAGGGAAAATTGTCTCGAATTGAAAAAAAAAATCATTGATTTAGCTCCGATAGAACCGAAGTTAGAGCGAAAAATGTAAACGTGATCTAGAGTTCGATGATCTATAGATAATTTTTCAAATTCATTGAGGATTTTCTCCGCAATTATCAGGTCAAAATGGACGATTTTTTTTTTAAATCGGGATGAAATTTCTGTGGCTCTCCAATGGAGTCAACGCTCACTCTCTCCTGCTCCCTGATTTGGAGGAATTGATTAGTTGTGAGTGCTGAAGGGGAAAACTCGTTTATTAACCCAAATGAAATACATAACTTATAGCGAATGTCCCAGCGACAATGCCTACGAAAATAATGAATGCCCATAAGTAGACGCAACAGCTGTAGATCACCTTCTGTACATCGAGATTCTCATTATCATTATTCCTCTCCCCTCCGAATGTCCGGATGTTCTCATCAATAACGACTCTCCGCATCACCGCGCCTTCGGTCTCACCACCAACTTCGGTTTCATCAATTTCCCTCACTTTTTATGCTCGTCATGTCGAAAAAAAAAAAACCCGTCAACATCGGGATATTCCACGGCCGAGGTAATCCTTGGAATAACTGAAAACAATAACGCCATATCTGGGGTGATAAAAATTTATTCTACTAGTAAATTTTCAAGGAGACAATCGTGAAAATCCATCGTAAACTCACTTGAGGTTTTTTCTTTCTTTTTCGGTTTATACAATCGGGATAATAAGGAGATTGGTGGTTACGTTCGAGGAAATCGTTACGAAATTGTTTTTTTTTGTTTTTTTTTTGGGTAAAAAACAATGGAAAATTGTGGGAAATCTTTTCTCATCTGTTGAGGGGAAAATTTCATGGGAAATTTATTCGTCAACGGAGTATGAGAAATGAGGTCGGAAGCCCGGAAAATTGCTGGCGGAAAACAGGATTTTCCGATGGGGCAGCATGGGTTTTCCGACTACAGCCGGAAAATTCTCTGGCTGATGGCGAAGTCCAATTTTCCCCTTATGACAATGATTTAATTTCCTCGGGGATAAGTGGTAAGGCGAACAGAATCAATTTTCCACGTCTCTGAATACGCGAGTCATTTTCCAACTCCATTTTCCCTTTTCAACGGTTCTTGCGACATTTTCCTTTTTTCAACGTTCTAGTGGATTTTTTCAGGCGTAACGGATCTTTCTCGACGACGAATGGGGAAAATCCAGTGAAAGAGGCGAATGCAGGATTTTTTTAATTGGAAAAATGCCATTGAGAGAGATTAATTCTTCGGGGGAGGGTATCAGCTATTTTCCGATTAGAAGTTTTCAATTTTCTTTTAGCACAAATGCAGTCCATTCACTCCTCATGCTATTAGGCGTTTACAAAACTTTTTATGGGAAATGGAAGAAAAATATAGTGAACTCGCGAGGGCATTTTCCGGAATTTTTCCTCGGAAAAACTGGCAATTCCATTTTTTATAGATGTTGTCAGAGAAATCAGACCTCCGCGTACGAAAAGTATCAGCAATTTTCCGATCAGAGTTTTCCAATTTTCCCTCAACCATTTTATCCAGACTTCCAACGCTTGACACAATGCCCAGGGGATTGTGGCTTCAATCTCCTCCTAGTGCTGTCATCTGAGTACACAACTTCGAGGATAGACGGTTGATAAATATTATTGTGAGTTTTCCGAAATTTTCCTGAATTTCCCGCGACCTTCCTCGATAAATCCCGGAATTGAATTTTCAAAAATCCTTTCCACCGCAGGTTCAGCTAAAAAAATCCAAATGGACTCATAATATAATTCCGAAAATTTCTCCAATACAAAAGAAAATATTTTCCCAGGATTTTCCAATGTGGGAAAAATCCGATCACCAAAAGAATTCAAATACTGAACATCGGAACCTGCGCCCGCGCAACCCGCGAAATTTAAAAATGCATTCCGTTCAACAGAAAAAACTGGAAAATTGGAAAATTGAAAAAACAACCGACACTTCCCTTTCCCTGAAAAATCAAATGAATAAATGACTAAGAAATGAATGAATACTGTACCCTAATGATACCTCCACAGTTCCGGCATTCAGAATGCCATTGATTTTTTCATTCAACAATTTATTGCTCCCTCTTTGGAAGGAAATAAACTCCAGTCCACCTGTTCCGCTGAATCACGCAACATTTTCCCACTCATACCCGCGATTTATTTGACATTTCACCGTCATCATTTCATTCCAATCATCCTCCCACAATCCATTACCACAGAATTGAATAGTGAACAATAAAAAAAAAAATACAATATGAGAATTCGTCATCCCGAGAGAAAGAGTGAATTTTCCTCGTCCTCGTCAAAGCGCAAAAATATTGTTCAACCGACAGGACAAAATGACGGGCTAAATTCCGGATATTCTTTCAACCTCGTTATTGAAACTCTCGATAGCAAATCGAATCCTCATGGTCGTATGAGTTTCGAGGTCACCGCGTTGATTTGGGTCATAAGGAGATTAAGGAGGAGTGCCCTATCCCCATCTTTTCAAATCTTTCAAATAAAAACCATCAATGGTACCTCCGATGATCGATAACGATCCTATTAATCCTATTAACGAAACGAAATATTTTATTTTTATTTATTTTATATATTTTTTAAAATGAAAATCCATATCTTTCTCCGGATTAATTTTTATTTCATATCAAATATTAATTTCAGTTAAAACATTTTTTATTCAACTCGTTCCCAAAAAATCTCTCGATTCGCTACTCTCGACTTTCCGATTTCCTCCGATCGAGATGTTTCAAGTGAGAGTGACACATTTATTTTCAAAACGAAATATCTCCAGTAGAATTTTCTCACCAAATATTTCAATGACGAAGGAAAAATAATGAAATAATACGTGCTGTATTTAAAAAATTGTTGAGAGCGGGGGGATGTTGGGGGAGTGAAGACAATCGCCATTAATTCGACGGAAAAAAAAATAAAATGAAAAAAAGGGAATATATTGGAGAGAGAATACTTTAGTTATTGAGGTCGCGTACTCGAGCCACCGGTTCAAGGCTTCATGTTCGTTATGCAGACGATACTCATCAGTGCAAAATGATAATGGGAGTAAAAATGAGAGATAAGGGGAATAGTGTGTGGAGTTCACCCTGGGGTTATTAATCGTGGGAGTGATTAACCAGTATTAATTAATTTTAACGAGTATTAATTGATACCCTAGGACATGAGGTGACATTAGGTTTTTAGGTAGACTTTACTGCGCCTGAGTATCGTCCCAAGATTAATTACACTATCAGGATTTCATGAGAATTTTGTTGAAACAATTTTTTTATTTTTTTATTTCATTTTATTTCGGTTTTCATTTTTATTTTTTGTTTGAAACATTTTAATAATCGAAAAAAATTATGATCTACACACCATAATATGTAGAAATATAATTTTTCTAGTCCATATCGATGTACGTTTGTACCATGAATATTAAATGTATAATAAAAAAAAAATGATAATTAATAAAAATTTTGATGATGACCTTGATGATTTATTTTCATCGTAACGAGTGTTTCGTGACGAAGTGAGTTGGCGGGATTAATTATTCATATGAATTGCCGTGGATTTTTGAATAAATGATTGAATTCTCGATTTCCCTTATCATGTCGTGGGAGGAGTCAAAAGAGATGATAATTTATTCAATCACCGGATTCGAGGGGGCGAGTACGAGGGGTTGAAAAAAAAAACCATTTTATTTTTGACCTTTCAATTTCCTTTTTTTCGGTTAAATTAAATTCATGAAGTATTTACCGTGACATTTTCGAGGTAATTGGGTTTTTGCGGAGCGAGTACACACGTGGATTATTAAAATACATGTGTATCCCCCGAGGTTTTCCAGAAAGACGAGAAAATTACGAGAGAAAAAAGATACGTCTCGAGATGGGGAGAAAAATAAACAAGAGCCCGTGTATTCCATCATTTTTATTTCACGGAGTCACCCCATGGGGCAGATGTACACGGAGGGGTGGGCAAATGAGTTGAGAATGATTTAATTATAAAAAAAAAATGGCGAAACGAAAAAAAATGTATCTTTCAGTGATAAATAAGTCAATCAGAAGGTAATCAATTCCATCTATCGACGATATACACTCGTCGCATGCATCAGACCTCTCCCTAAATCAATTATTACTCCTAACATCGATACAAGACGCAGATACTATCGAATCTACTATTAATTCGAGTAACCCACATGCGACTGACGGCTTTTGCATATAGTGGCGCGATGAAAACGCATATTCCCAGACTCTCTGTGTGGCTTCGACTAATGGTCGATAATGGAACCGCACCGAGGCAACATTGTAACAGAATTATCGAGAAAGACAGTGCCAGAGTATTTTTCAAAGACAATTACTCCCAAAACCCACGAAAAACTGCGACAGCCCGAAAAATGTCGATATCAATTTTTCCATTGACATATTCCATCATTCTCATTGTTAAAAAAAAAATATTGTGCAAAGAAAATGTCCGGAAAACCCATGGGAAATTGTAAAAAAAAATTCCCCTGACCGGGAAATTGAATTTTTTGAGTATGAATTTGCGCTTTTTTGCAGGGAAAAAATTGGAATTGCGATTCGGCGATTCTTTCTCCGATTTTTAAAGCCAAATGATCTCTCGGTGGAATTCAATCCGTGAATTTTCTCCACCCATTCACTGATTCTTTAGTCGCGTACAGAATAAAATTCAATGCGACTTATCCAGCACAAAGGTGAAGCTATCCGACATTTTCCAATTGGCTGAGAAATGCGAGATATTTTTCCCTATTCCCTTTGACTACTCTTATTCAATTTTATTATTCACAGGTAATCGGGCGATGGTGAAAAACGTCGAGGGGTTGGAAATATCGATGGAGTGAATTTTCTCCCGTTGATTCCACAGCCGAGAGGAGGAATGGGCCTTGGGGCCTTTGACGTAATACTCGTCCTTGTTTCCACTTCGGGCCTTATTCTCAATGCCTACGTGCTGCTTGTTGCTCTTGGCCTCAATAAACAAGTAAATAAACAATTTTCCATGGTATCTTGCAATCTTGCAAGTCCTTCGTTGTCCTCTTCGCCTTTCCTCTCCTTCCTCCAACCTCGTCCCTCCTTACATTTTTTTATATTGATGTTGTGTGATTCAAAAGTAATTATTTCACGTGTCGATACAATTTTACTCCAGACTCAACAGCAACAGACAGCTAATACTGTACTCCTGCTAGTACACCTTGGAGTTGTGGAATCAGCTGTTTGCCTTGCGATATTGCTGTTCAGCAGTGGTGGATGGCCATTGGCAGGACCCTGGTGCACTCTGTACGGTTTTATCTTCAATGCCCTGCATCCAGTGGCACTTTGGACAGTCACCGGGCTGAATTGTGATAGGTGAGAGCTGTGGGCCCGAAAGATCAAAAAATTTACTCGCAAATGATATCCAACACGATCCAATTCGCTCCGCTAGTTGCTGAGAAAATCCCAAATGAATATTCCTCAATGATCAACAGATGTATTGCACCTGTATCGATCGCTAGATCAAATGACATTTTTTGCTCTAGCTCGGGTTCTATGGGAGCAAAATGGATTATTTTTTTTTAATTCGAATCCATTTTTTCTGATCTATCGAATGGGCTTATGTCCAGCTTTGTTTCTCCCACGGAAAATATTCAATTTTGAGGGGCAGAAGGAAAATAATTTCAAATCATTTCAATTTTTATTTCCTCAGGTACTACGCGATATCAGCACCACTCCACTACACAGCAGTGGTGTCCAGGAAACGAGTAATCCTCGGTCTTATTACCTCTTGGATTTTTCCCCTCCTCCTCTGTCTCCCTCCACTATTCGACATTGCACCGTCCTATAAATACAATTACGATTTTGGCTGTTGTGTCCCAGAATTTACCAACTCCTGGGGCACAACTGGAATAATCTATGCAACAATTTACGTTTTACTCGGCCTAATGCTCCCAGTCTTCCTCGTGACACTCTGCAATCTCCGGGTCCTCGGAATCGCGAGGTATCATCGGCACAGAATTGCCAGTGCCATTTATGAGGTGACCTTGAGCGCTCAAGTCACGATAACACATCAGAGGAATCCATTCTATGTGCCAACGATAACAGCACCGAGTGCTGGGGGACCACCGAGATTTCACAGTGCTGCCAGCACTGTAAGTTTACCCAAGGGATGAAAGGGGTTGAAACCCACCCCATCCAATGGATCATAAAAATTGTAAAGAAATGAAAAAAAAAAAAAAATCTCAATTTTACCCAGCGGTTGCGGAGAAAATCTCAAATTAATTTTCAGGAATGATCCATAGATCACTAATCAATCGCTGGATCACATTTCTTACGAGGGGGAATTTTTTTTTTTTTTTAATTCCAGCGGAAATTTTGTGATCTGTCGAATGGGCTAGATTGCAACCCCCATTTATATCGTGATTAATGGTGACAGCGGTTTTCACGTGATTTTTTGTAAAATCGATAAAACCACGACGCGGAAATGAACCCACTGATGTTCCAGGTCATGCAACTGGTTGTTCCTCTCTATCTCCTCTACTTCCCGTACTGTGGATTAATCCTGTGGGAGGCGTGGAGTGGTAAATCTGTACAAAATGGCCCAAATACCCACATGTGGATAGCGTCCTTGGCCTCACTACTGTTAGCCCTTTCACCCCTGATTAATGGAATCCTCTACGGAGTTAAGTCACGAACACTTAGAAGATCCTTTCAGAATTACCGGAGGAAAAAAGTCACAAAGTCGGAGCTTCAACAGGTGAGTGGAGGAGTCATTAATTCTCCCACTGTAATTAGGGTAAAAGAATACAATCGGAGGATCGATAGACATTTTAATTGAATGAAATAGTGAAATTGTTTGAAAAAAATAGTCAGGGGAGATCGTTTGGTATTTCATTCTTGATGTACACGGGTAATTGCTGCATTGTAGGAAATACAGGCGAGGACACCGAGTGCAGCTGGATCTAGGCGAGCATCAGGGAGTGGTCCCGTATCATTATTTCCATTTCCACCCACTCAGAGACGTCTTAGTGAGGCACTACTTTATTTAGGTACTCATTCAAGGGGTCAGGGCTTTGACAGTGAAAATACCAGGTGTTTCAGCAAAAGCAGAATGCAGTTTGCCTCGTGCAATACGCTACAAGTACCCACTCCTGAATCCGGTAATTTGGTCTCTCAAATACATTCATTCCAAATGACCAATGAAAAATGATCCGCAGCATTGAAAAAAATAACGATTCATTTTACCTCCAATGTTCAAGAGGAAATCACCAATTTTCACATACTCCGGAAAATTTCAGATCGAATTGAAAAAAAAAAACGTGTTTGTATCTCCAGTAGACCGGGAGAAAATGCGAAATGAATTTTTGTAGATCATTTATCGATCGCTAGATCGGTTGCCCCTTTTTTTTATTATTTTGTTATTATTGGGCCAGTAGAAAGCTTCATTCCTGATTTTATTGGTCTTTTGAAGGGGATGCTGCAACGAAACCCGTACGCACAAGCGCAAGCGCAGCAAATCTCATAGATCCGGCTTATCGTCAAGATACAGCGAGTGTGACACAGTATGACACATACCCAAATTCATCAAAACGCAGTCCCCGTATTCTCATAACACGTACATACAGTACCGAGAGCCCAGAGGGCGGAAGTCCTCTCCTGAAACGCAACCGCCCACCGCCTAACTCATCCCCAACATCAAACGAAAGTGAGTTCCATCGCTTCCACGATTTATAAATAAATTCATGCAATTAACAGGAATGAAAATGGATAATGCAATTATCCCTGAAAAAAATTCTTACCCACGCGAAATATATTTTATTCCAAAAATGTTGAAAAAGGAAAAATCATTCATTATTATTATTGTTTATTTATTGACTGAAAATAGGAAGCAGATGGAGAAACACAAGTGCAGGAAGTGACAGTAGCACTGGTAGCAGTGATTTGAGCGTTTGGACAACGAAAATATCGCCGAAGGGTGATATCGTGAATTTTAAAAGTTCAGTTGACAATTGGCCAGTTGGCAGGCGTTTTACACGTGTTAAGACCCTTGAGGAAGGGCCAACGATGTTCGCTGGTACCCGAAGAAGTAATAATAGCGAGAGCAGCGATACAACTGATACGACAGCTACAACCACAACATCGACACTACCGTCCAGGACTACTGTACCCACAGTGAGTTGTTACTCTCAATTTATTTTTTATTGTGACATTCACACGATTTTTAAGATTAAAAAAAATTTATCATTTCAATAAAATTCACGGGACATCACAATTTCTTCTGAAAGCATCCCTCCCCCTCCGACAGTGAAAAAAAATTGTTGATCCGTCGGAGTGATTTACAAACGATTCCTCAAGTCGTGGGGAGAGTGATAAATCAGTTGGGGAATGACTCAATATATATTTTTTTTTTTTCAGGCAGAAAAGACGAGCCCTGGAGACACGAGGGAGGAGTCCAAAGAGGGCGATAGCGAGAGTGAATCGACATGGTCTAGTGGAGATGAGAACGGAAAATTGAATGAATGTAATGGTGAGAAGATTATTCACGATGGTAAGAGGAATGGGGGTGAAATTGTCAAGGACATTCACTGCGGAGAACCGAGAAAGTACAAGAGAAAGAGGAGGGAAAGGGGTGAGATATTGAAGGGTGAGGGGGAACGAGAGGGGGCAATGCAACTGAGACCTCTCCTCACACCCTCGTCATAGATGAATACAAATTATTCTCGTATTTCTCATCGATGTTGTCTTTTTTCCCCCATTCTCCATTTTTAATGGTCCCCTCTCGTGAAAATCGCCCGAATAATTGCATAAAATTTAAAAATATTCGGACTATTTTTACATTACCGAGAATTATTCCTTTTTTATTCATTAATTCTCTCAATTATTCCTTCCCTCGTGCATACCTGCGCTGATTTATTTATTATTACCCGCGATTACAGGCAATTATCGATTAATTTTTTAATGTGAAAACGCGAGAAACTATTTGACATCCACATCTCGATTAAAAACATATCCATGAAATGATATTTTTGTACTGATCCTCAGGAGTCCGACCGCTGAAAATAATTAGCAAGATGCAATTGAAGGAAAAATTTTTTATTTTTAATCAAAAAAAAAAAGTGGAGTCGTTGATTTTGAAAAAAAAATCAAATCCGTGATCGTAAAAATTCAAATAAAACCTGTCGAGTCTATATTAAATTATTATTATTAATATTAATGTTAATATTTGAGAGAACAATCATTATAGCAACGGGAATAAAAAATTGACGCGTGAGAAAAAAATGAGGACAATGTCGGGCTCACATGAAAATTGAAATAATATTATTTGTTTAATAAATTTATCGAAGGAGTGACGTAATCGTTTTAATAGACAATCTGTCGGAGGAAGTCCACGAGTTTCAAGTTTTTTCATCCGTGAAGTATCGAAGTGGCAATTTTTATCCACTGATTTTTCTCTCTTTTTTGGGGTAACTTATATCTATTCGGTATATCAGAGTGATAAAGCACTTTCTGTGCGTGAAAATTCAGTTGAATGCGAGAGAAATGGATATAGAGTAGCTTGAGGCGCTTTACGAATGACTGGTCCTACCCTGGGGAGACACGTGTTTTATGACAGTGAATCGATCAAATTCACGAGGATGTTGAGAATATCTCAATGAGACAGCCCCCAAGATTGAATAGATTCTCGAGAAATTGTACCTTTCGGGAAAGCGTCACTGAAAATTCATAAGAAAATCCTGACTGAATTTCAACGACGAAATTATTTCCATTTATTCCATTATTCGATTATTGGATTATTCACTAATTGGCATCTGCCAAGTTA